TTGCTGCAGGATGGCATTTGAAAGCTCAACAGCTCAGTGTGCAGCAAATTATGAAGCAAGTCCTGTTCCTTTGGAGGTTCATTCTTAATGCCCTAGTCCAACTTATTAGCAGCAGGACTTCAAAACCTCAAAGATTTCGCATCAGGGTAGAAACTCGAGGCAACTTCCACATTGGATTGAAAACATCACTTGATAAGATAAAGCACAGACAGTTTTAAAAGTGATCAGGGATCCTTTGGTGCTGCTTCCTGCTCAGAAAGACCCAAGCTAGGACTGTCCCTTGGAAGAGAGGGACAACACGGTTGCATCTGCACAAATCCAATCCAGAGCATTTCCAGTTCACTCTGGGATTTGCTCCTTATGCTTACATTTGCTTGCATCAAGAGACCAAACTGGGCTGTACTGGTAAAAGTGTTACTTGGTAAAAATGCAGCTACCAGGCCAAGGAAGAGGATTCCTCTGCCAATCCATTCAGCATTCCCCAGATCTTGTCTGCTCCACTGTCTCTTCTGTTGGGCTCCCCAGTACAAGACCCCCAGTGACCTGCAGCAATTGCAGCTGAGGTACAAGAACAGACCAAGACAACCAGGCTGGTTCAGTCTTGAGAGAAGGAAGCAAATGGGAAAAATCCTACTGGAATCTTTGAGTACTTATTTGCAAGATGYAGAGGAGGCAGAGCTGGGCTTTTCACAGAGGCAAGGAACAAATGGAGCTGCATTTACAAATGGGAAATTCTTATGTTGCTGAGAAGTTTTCACCTCATGTGGTGAGAGTGGATTCTCTATGGAAAGGTAGAGAACTATTGCCAGATTAAATCCTTGTCATTCAAGATGCCCAAACCCAGGTACAGCAGGGAAACACTTCTCCTTTCACCCTACATTTTGACACATCAGTGTCACATCAGTAGCACACATCAGTGATAYCAAATATCCACTGGGAACACCTCCTTGCTAACACTGATGAAAAGCTCCAACATCAATTTAAAATCCCCAGGAGGCAGGGAGTATTCCACACCACACTGCAAGAAAGTTCGGGTCAGATGCTCTCACTTGCTTTGATACAGGTCCCCAGCCTTCTGTGCTCCAAGTTTTATTTCACTGTGGGCATTTYCCTACTGAAAAAGGCAAAAAAAAGGGTGAAAATTAACTCTGAATTACAACTCTAAGTCAGTACACAAGACAGATGTCTGAAACATGCAAAATCAAGTTTACTCAGCCAAATCTGATGCCAGACCACGACACTGATTGCAGAACTCTAAAAGGCTTCAGCTGGTATTTCTTTCCTCTTACAAGTCTCTGAAAACACACTCCTGAATAAGCTCTGCCCAACAGTAACATGTCTAGAACACAGCATGAAAATTAATACAGGGTGACCAAATTGACCTTTCTCAACCTGCTCTGGAGCTCCACGTATTCCACAGGTATTTTCATCCTTGAGTCCTCAGGCAGAGCTTAATGCAAGGTGCTGCTCCTGTCAGTGGATAAAAATGACTGGATATGCTACAGGGGACAGTGTTAATGGTATGGGGGAGGGGGGAATATGGGAAGGAGAAAGAGTTGAAAAGAATATATGAGCTAATCATGAACTTCAATTTTGTGCTCAGTGCTGTGCTGTGTTATCACTAAATCAGATTAAATTGATCTTTCTCTAAAAAGCTTTCTGTATCACAAGAGCCAAGGTCAAGACAAACAACATGGAATTCCAGTGGAATAAAACAAAGAACAACTCCATTCAACTCTTGCAAACTGGGGCAAAGAAAGTTGCTATAAACTAACTGTGATCAAAGTAAAATCAGTCAATGTCATTGCCTAAGGTGAAAAAAAAAATCAATAGGGAATGGTGGAAAGTGAATTCACACATTAAGAACTTGGCTTTACAGTTTTCCCAGGTCTAAGTTATCGCAGTTTAAATATTCAATATGCCTTGACCTTCATCACACAGACTGCAGAAAATCCAGTGAAGCCTCCATTTTCACTTCCCCTCAAACCTTCTTCAGTTAATGTAACTGGGGATGAAGTGCAACTTTCTAGACAACAAGAACTAGTCAAATTATCAATTTAAATAACCCGAGTACTGCATACAACCATTAAGGTAAACATTTTCTTTCTAGTTAAAGACTTAATTCTACCACCACATTAATTTTCATTCCTCTGCAGCCTGGAGAATCAGGATTGGTATGCAAAGAGAATGATGCTGTCTTCCAGGCTGAGCAGTGTTGAAAGAATTCATCTGGAGGCCTGAAACAAAATGTCTCCATCTCACGTGTTCTGCATGAGGACCACACTTTTCCACAGCTCTCAACACGATTTAGTAAAAATTTTATTTTAGCTGGTACCAGGCAATATTTAGGCAAACCTACCAAAAAATATCTGCAAGTGGCATGGCTACTTCCTACATTAGCAAGGGGATGCAGCAGACTGAGGAAGCAAAACCCTGACAGGATGAACTGACAAGTTCTAGACACCTCAAACAGAAAGGGTGAACAGAACAAAAATATTTGCTTATCCTTAACTCCCATTTGAACCAGCAGGCATTGTGAGCTGTGAGAAGAAGAGAGAGAAAGTGTTATTCTGCTCTAAATACTCAGGAGGCACATGCAACCTGAGGATGGACTTTCAAGCAGTATCTATAAAGCAGCAGCTGATGGATGAAACACTGTCACTCAGCTGATGTCTTTCTATGGTGCTGGATTAGYTTCCACAAGTTTAGGGCCTAATTATTTAGACTCTTCAAGAGAAAAGCAYCAGTGGAGAAAAATCCACAGAATTTTGGCAGCTCCACATCCTGAAGAGTTTTCTGTTGGTTTTTCATCTTGCTCTGACTCACCCAGCATTCTGGAAACCCAAGGACTGCGGTGCTTCCGGAGCCTCGGGGCTGTTTCTGAGGCGTGCCTGTATCTAAAGCAGCAGTCACCCAAAAGTAATGATTCATCACAGATAGACTGTGCTGCACTCTCACTTGTGCCTTCTGCCTTGAAATTCATTTTATTGACTCCTGACTTTGAAAAGGCTACAGAAAACAGAGCTAATCCAGTGCTTTTCCACTGTGCCACACCTAGCCTTCCTAGCGGGAGAAGGGACAGCTGGAGGCCAGCCTGCTTCAATTACTTTGTGGTCTGTAACAATTCTCCTTCACAAAACCATTTCAAAGTACTAAAATCCCATCTAATAACTTGTCACTAAGGGCACACACCTGAATTCTGAAAGCCAAGCTGAGATAAATGATCTGTCATGAATATTTTATATGTCTCTCCCCGCAGAAAGCAACCGCAAATCACGAGACCAAGAAATTCCTTCCTTCTTTCAGAAATATTTCTCACAAAACAATGGACTTGACAATWAAACATGTCTGGATTTTATTCAAGTGGTGGGACTTGGCTATTTAATAGGATTTGGCAAGGACAAAGGAAACCCAGAAGGGAACAAGTGATGCCAGCTGTTACCTTGTGGATTTCCTCCCCAGATTCCAGCAGACATGGAAGGGCTGTGCTTTAGYCCTAATCCCCTTGGATATGCTGACAGTATCATTTACTGTACACTGGGGAAGGCTTTCTGCAGTGGGTTTTGTGTCTGTCCTGTCAGATTGCACAGGACAGCAGATCAGTACAGATGGTGATAACCCACCACAGGCACAGCCCAGCCCTCTTAAGTCTCTCTTGCCATTACCAAAGCCGTAACATTTGCTGAGTGAAAAGACCACTGCTGTGCTGCCAGAAGACATGTTAGCCAAGGGGATTSCAAAGGGGAGTAAAGCCAAAGAGGTTTTCTGAAGGCTCAAGGCAGGGGTGGATTTCTTTGGCAGTCATAAGGTGTCACAACTGTTCCACATGGCTGAAGTGAGTCAAAGCTGCTTTCCTCAAAAGACATCCTTGTGCTGCATGAGGAGCCTGAATACAGTTTCAGTAAAGGCCTCCTCCTACTGGCCAACCCAAATGGTCCTCAAGGCAGAAGAGATGGGAGAGGGAGCCAAGCAATGAAAGGAAATGTCCAAATTCCTTTTGGTAAAACTGTTTAAGATTTGCCACATGGACAATAATGAGAAGTCTTTTGCCTTGGTCTATTACACCCTGACAGAGTTTGTATGAACCACTGTATGACCTCTGCTGCCTCTCATCCAAGCCCTCAGCTTCCCCATCCAAAGAATGACACAGGAACTTTGCTGTTAGCCATGGAAGAGGCCCAGGGACAGCCTCCTACCCAGCCCTGACCTCCTGACYGTGGTCCATGAAGCTGAGGACCAAACCACCAATGGGAGGTGAAGGTGACTTGTGCAGAAATTCAACCAGTATTTTCTCAAGTTCACAAAGACAGTGGCCATGCCTTCACCTACAGTGCTAATCTGAACAAAAGCTGGCGCTCCACACAAGCTGTGATCAATCAAATGCACACAGAACCTCCTGGAGACACCCTTCCCCATGTGATCCTCAGGCATTAAGATACTTTGGCTGTTGTCCAGAGCAAGTGATGAATAATTTTAAGAAATCACTGAAGATACAAACCCCTTTGTTTTTAACATCTTTACAGGAACCAAGCTAATACAGTTCCTCAGTCATTCTGTTCTCCCTCAGAGGGAATGGAGAGAAATTGCATCTGGAAATCCAGGTGGCTGAGCCCTGTAACTCTTCCTCCTGAATCCCCACATAAATAAACATTTATATTCAGAAATTTCTGTTTAAAAGAAACAGAATAATTTGCCTTTTTCTTTAAGCCTGGTACCATGTTTCTTTAATGTTGTCGTGAGATGCTGCACCCATCTTTCAGCATTTGATTACCTTAGGTGACCTTTTTAAAAYGGTCCTATGGTTCAAAGCTCTCAGAAGCGTGGTATTAAGGCATAGAAYGTGAAGAGTTTTCTTTCCAGGGAGCAGACTGTATCTGTATTACATTCTTTTAGATTCTGAACTGCAAATCCCATCCCCTTGGAGCCGAAAGAGGAAAAGATASTTAAAAATACCCCAGCAGTCATACAATCAGTTGTCTGTATTTTTTKRAWYYTWAAAAAAAGAAAAAAACATCCCATAAGTAGAGACAGAACAGAGTTCCAGATATGGGTTCTTGGGAGGGGTTTTCCATTCTTTTTGGCACCTTATGATTTTAATATCTGTTGTCCTCCCATTGAAAAAATCTGCCTTTAAAAAGAGCTCTTTATCAGCTGTGTTTTGAGCTGTTACAGTTGTGGTTGGTTTCCTGTGAAAGCTGCTTTAGGACTCCTGCCATCCCATGCCCACCCCGCCATCACTCCAGCTCCTCCCACCAGGTCTTCATTCACTGGTTGCCTGTCCTTGTGGCATTGTGGATGTGATGACTCCAGGCTGGGCTGGCACTGCTCCRCTGGGCTCTTCTATCCGAGGTCTTTTCACCTCAGGTTCACTGGAGGAGGCTGCTGCTGCTGTCTCTTCGGTCCCTGGCTCGCAGACCCGGCTGACTACAACAGGAGTGGACGAGCTGGCCTGGGCTGCAAGGAGCTGCAGTGGATTTGTAAGAGCTGGGAAGGAGGACAGAAGAGAGAAGAAGAATTAGTGGGATGAAGCAGCACAAGTGTTTGCTATCCCAAATCATGAAAACAAAACCTCACCATCACATGTGACAGCTGGCACATGGTCACACAGTGTTTTCCCATGCATTTTGAAAGCCCTGCTTGCCTTGTCCTCCTCTCTCCCTACACAATCTCAGCTTTTCAGGTTTACCAAACCAACAACAACCCCTCTCACAGGAGARCTTCCCTCTTCCTATCCATTGTCAACAAGAGGAGGGTGAATGCTAGTTAAGTATTCACCCCCACAGGGGAGGATTGAGCTCTGGTTAAAATTACAGCACATCTCTTTGGGAAGCAGTTCTGATTGTAGGTGGCCAGAGAATTGCTCAAAAACTCCGACATCCATGTGATGGGCCATTAATTTGGAGGTTTGGAGGCTCTCTTGAGCCCTGCTCACACAGGAAGAACAAAYCAGGCTGTTGGGAAATAGAATACAAATATTGAGTGTACTGACATCTCACTTGTAAAAGGGGCAGGAAAGAGCTTACCCTAGACAACCACATGTGTTSCCATCAGAACTGGGATCAGAACACAGGAATTTCTGGCTTCCAATCTTGTATTGCAGTACTGACACAAGGTCTCACCCTCCCATTAATAAAAGTGGTAAGAAAAAAGATGATTTGAGTAGCAACCCTGTGTAAAAATGTCTACAATTCCTAGTTCCAGACAGAGAATGTGCTTACACACTGACTTTGGCACACARCACTGCTTGGAAAACAAAACACATGCAGTTTTTGGACTCTGCATCAATCAGAGAGGAAGCCAAAGGGGACTCAGGAGACAGCACATCCTCTGCCCTCCAGACTCATTTACAAAGGGTGGAATGACTGAACATCAGTGCCGTGTTCACTGCTAAATGCACAAAAAAGAGAGCCCAAGGATAAATAAACAAAGCAAACAGAACAAAGGTCCTCAAAGCCCAGTAACTTCTACCAAGGCTTGAGAAGGAAGCTGTATCAAGAGGACAAAGAAAAAAAACAGGGTAAGGATGAGGGCAGTCAGCAATTACAGCTTAGTGACTTAGAGAACCTAAATCATGCAGTTGAAGAGAAGTTAACATAGTACAGATGAGAGTCAAGAGACTCAGGCTTTGTTTTGTGAACCAGAAAATTTACTGCCACTTACAAAAAAACTTAGATGCAGTTGGTGTATTTCCCACTTTGATGAGAATTCAAAAGCTTGGTGAGATTAAAATATTTTAACATAAAAATGTTATATAAAAACCTACCTGATTCTACGTTAGACAAACACTACTGCTGGGTAGTAGAAGCTTGAGCTATCTGATCTATTAATATCTCATAATAATTGCATAAAAAACCTTATCACTACCATTTTTGATAGTTTCAATGAAATTYTTGCAGTTTAAGTGCAAGATAACTATGAAGAGCTGTGGCAGAAAATTCTGTAGAAACATTCCTACCTTCATGAAAGGCATCCAATGCCCAGCAGTGCCCTTCATTTCAAACTCCCCAAAAGCACCAGACTGAGGCAGMAGAAGTGCTTGGCATCTTAGTGAAAAAAGCCATAAGAAACCTGGGTATTCCCATCCCCAACCGAATAAAATCTGAGATGCTGAGCAAGCAAGAAGAGGAGGCTGCCAAGACATGGCTTGCATGGAAATTAAAAAAACCATGCTTGACAAATGACTAGAACATATCCTGTGTATACAAAAATCCTACATTCATTCASCTGGTGAAATAGATCTTGTTTCTCTCAGGCTCTAAGACTTTAAGATGGGAAAGTATGTTATTTTCTTATTACTCTGCAGRGTCATGTTTCACAAGATCTAAAAAGCACCATGGAAATTTTATTATTTGGTGCGCTGCAAGCAAAGGCTGTTGGTCAGAACAAAATAAATGAAAACAGGCTCTCCACAAGAAWCACTGACACTTTCAATGAGTAACCTCGAGAAGCAGAGAGTCTCAGTAGCAATAACTGCATAGCCAAGGGCAAAGGAAGGACACTGGGCTTTTCTGCCAGAGAGCAGGATTTTTCCCCCTGGAAAGGGGGCAGAGGAGGACGGAAGGGCACCTCCCACTGACATTTACAGCCCCAGAAGGGAAGAACTGCAGTATCTTTGAGATGGACACATGGAATAACTTGATACACAGTAAGCAGGAAGAGAAAAGCCTTGCAGCTTTCCACCCTGCGTGCTAAGCTTGGGGAGCAGACCCACCGTAGGCGCTGCCGGCGATGCTGTTGGTGGGCACGGCGTGTTTGCCGTTCTGGGTGACCGCCCGCACCGGGAGCTGGTGCTGCCCCAGGGCCACGGGTGCTGCCTGCTGCAGGATGGTGACAGTCTGCCCAGGGACACCCTGGGCCATCTGACTGGCCACTGTCTGGATAACACGGCTGGCCGTGGGGATTGTGGCAAATGCGATCGTTGGCTTCTCGTCCATGCCTGYGGAAGAGCAGAACAGACAACAATCAGTCACTACTCTGGCTTAGAGGAAGGTTTCATTCTCATTAACACTTGAGCAGATACACATTCCCCAGGCTTACAGAGGTGAAAATACCAAAAAAGATCAGGGATGAGTATCTGGAATGACTAAAATATTCTCTATTGTGCATTTACTCTRTCAATATTAGAAACATTTTTCTTACAGATAAGCCACAAGAAAAATTTTTAAAAATCCAAACCTTCAATTTGACCCTTTGCCCTAAAAAGGCATCATCATCCTTATTGGCACATTACAGCTGTGATATGGACAGCAGGCACTGCAAATCTCATAGCTTACTTTGCAATTTCAAATAAATTGGCCTGACTTTCAATATTACACAGCAGGAGAAGGCATTAAGATCTTAAACAATGCCTGGAGCCAAAAGTCTGCAGCAGCTTGCTGTCAGGCCTGCATGGAGGCTGATTTTACAAGGAGGTCCTCCAACAATTTTCAGCTTTTGCTGTGGAAGTATAGGAAAAAAGCAGAATGGAGCAAAAATGAGAAATAAAAAAGGAGAGCTGAGTTCCTGTACAGAGGTAATTGCTAGAGAGCTCTCAACCACTYTTCTCACTTCCCAGTAGAAGTAAGGGGCCAATTCAGCAGGTATGTAACAGATACAGAACAGCATCCTGCCAGGCATGCAGGAAAGGAGAGGAAAACCACTCTTCCAGGAGCTCTGTGGGTCTCAGAGGAGAGAGGGCAGGAAGCACAACCTCATTAGTTCTGTAGGAAAAAAAGGTCTCCCCCCTTTTAACATTAGCAGACAACAAGAGTGGAGTTAGATGGGATATGAGTACTGAGCTGAAACCCACAGGCAAGCTGAGGGGAATGGGGAGAGGACAGGCAAGGAAAACAGGGAGTTCAGGAAGGAAAATACAGCAACCAGGGAAAGYAGAGACTCAAAAAGGATACAAGTGGGAATAAGAGAGAGACTAGAGGGAAAGAACAAGCAACAGTAAGAACTAGTGAATGAAAGAAGGGAGCAGGTGACAGGCAGCTGCAACTGTTAGCACTTCAGGAACATGTATGGGATCCAGACAGGAATTTCTAGAGAATGTAAGTGAAACTCAAGCAAGATAACCAGTGCTGAATTAAAAACGCCAGTGATCCTGCTACTGCAGGAGGGGTAGCTCTTTGTCATTTTTTCCTTCCCTTAGAGAGGAACCATGTCCCAGTGCCCACATAAAAGCAGCCAGAGAAACCAGCCTTGCTGCTGGTACAACACACATCAACCTTGAAGCACTAAAACCTTCTGAAATGGGGAATAGACAAGGTGTTGTCTAGATCACAGCACGAGAATATTTAACTCACTGAATACCCCAAGGCTGGAATTTCCAGCTTAGGGACAAAAAAGGCCTTTGTTSTAACTAGTTTTTGAAGATTGCTTTAATGGGGTACTGCCTGCACTTCCAGAAGCACGTGCTCTCCTCTAGGAATCCATGTCTGCAGAAAAGAAGGGCTCAATCATTCATTTACAAGGCCATCCTAAAGCAGAGTTGCAGTGTTTCCCAGGCTCTTTCTCTTGGCTGGAAAACGCTCACACTTTCATAGCCAGTATACAGGCACAGTCTTAATAYTGGRGATAATYACAAAATCATGGAGTGACACRACAAGGGGGAATGGCTTCAAWCTGGAAGAGMAGGTATAGATGAGATATTAGAAAGAAATTCTTCCCTGTGAGGATGGTGAGGCCCTGGCACAGGTCATCCAGAGAAGCTGAGGCTGCCCCTGGATCCCTGGAAGTGTTGAAGGCCAGGTTGGAATGGGCTTGGTGCAACCTGGTCTAGGGGAAGGTGTTCCTGCCCACAGCATGGAGATTGCAACGAGATGATCTTCAAGGTACCTTCCAACCCAGATCATTTTATGATTCTATGATAATAAGCAAATTTTAAGCATGCATGCTTTTTTCAGGCTCCTAAGTCTGTTAGTTTTGCTCCCCAGGAGACAAGGAAGCTCAGTTGTCCCGCTCTCTGATGGACACAAWAAATGGATAAGCTCTTATTTGGTTTATGTTTTACTTGGAGAACTATCTTTTTTTAAAGTCTCAGTGCCTAGTGAGTGAAAATGTTCAACCACTCTCCCTTCCAAGCCTCATCAAGACTTATTAGCAGAGTAGCAATGGGGGGTGAAAAGCTACCTCGGTGGTCAGCAGCTAAGTCCAACACTGCTCCTGCAGCCTCATGAGCTCCTCCTGCTGTGCCCTGGTTGGTGAGGATGTATCCATTTGCAGAGTTTGCAGAGGAGGTCACCACTCGGACCATGGTGACAGTGGGAGCTTGTTGAACTACGTGGATTGCATGGCATGAAGGCTGCTGAGAAGTCATTATTGATGCTGGCATGTAGGCCACTGGTTTGGCCACCAGGGTGGATGGTCGGGGAGGGACTGCCATAATCACTGGCTGGGCACTCACTGGAGATCCTGAACAGAACAGAGAAGCATATGTTACAGGAGAGGCAAAAAGACATCCATTTATTTCATCTACGCACTTTCTGTCTGCTCAATGCTTCAGCATTGGCAGGAATGGAGGCAGAAATAAAAAAAATCAAGGTTTCAAAAATACCACCTTCAAACTTCTGTTCCCTATCGTACAAAAACCTTACTTGTCATCRGAGCACATTTCTGTGAACAAAAGCCATAATAAACATTAAAAATATCTCCCAAACCAAGCTTTCCTKAATGAGCTTTGCTTTCCAACTTTACCCTACACCCCGGGTCAGAACAGTTGACAAGCAGATACTCACCAAGCCCTGGCCACAGCTCCAGAGCTTGGTGTAGCCAAACTGATCTTATCCAAAGGCTAATAAATCAGTGCAAGTGATCTGTGTGCTGCCAGCTMCTCTGCTGTCAGATCTTTCCAGCCACCTAGCTCAAGGTTAGACCAGGTGTCTCTACACATTCTTCCCCCCTCATCCAAAGAGTTGTAAGAAAAATGGTTTGAAGTTGTACTTGCACCATCAGTCTCTAACAACCAAGTGGCAAGAGAGTCCTGGATCCTCCAGTAAAACACAGCAGAAGCCTTCCTGTGGTGTCCTCAGCATGGCACGTGGTGCAAGTGAACAGCCACCCTCTGTGGAACGAGAGCTACTCACCAGGTGCGCTCTGGGAATACCGATACTCTGGAACTGAGGCTAACTTTGACCCAAAGTCGTGGTCGTGTGGAATGGGTGAGCCCTCCCGTGACAGGCACTCTGGAGTCTGTAGGCCACTAGAGTGAGGGGACAGCAGGCCAGGGTGAGTAGGGGAGGCAGGAGCACTCCTGAAACACCAAAACATAGCGTTGGCAAGTGCAGATGTGTTTTGACCACAAGRCAGCAGCAGACACCCAGAATTATCTCCTGCAAAGGATCCTCTAGGAGGAACAGCCTTTCCTCCACAATACCCACTGCACTGCTGCCAGGAGGAGCTGAAAAGCACACTGACCCCACAAACACTCCAGCACCGAATACAGGACCTTTGAGAATAAGGTTAACATTTCCTTGCTAAGACTCGCTGCTGACAGAGAAACTCCAACTGCTGCATGCTCAGATCAGTTTTGTAACTTCAGATTATTCTCAAAGAACCTTTGCCAGTGTTTGAGAGTGACAGGAAGAAAAAATATGCAAGTAGAGGCAAGTGCCTGGCCCTGCATATGCTTACACAGCAAYTGCTCCCCCTTTTCCCTGCTGCCTCCCTCCCAAACACTTGGTTYCCACCTCTGGTCCCAAGCACATGAGGAATTGTACATTTCTTTAATGACAAACCAGAATAAGAAGCTGAAAAATTYTCCTTCCATTTCCCCCACATTTGAACAGACAGAATATAGGAGGTGTGGGAGGAAATGTTCCATGAAACTGCTCCAGCTAGTGCTGAATTCCAAGTCTTCTCACAGCAACAGGGCTCAGAGCTGTCATTGCACAAGGCAGTGGAGCTGATGGGAGCAGCCACACAGAACCCCCGTTGCYTCACTGCTGACAACCACCATCAACCTGATCTTCCCTATAGGAGAGTGTTTTAAATACCACAGAAGTTATTGCCACTATGATCTAATCCACATCTAAACACAGCTTTCCTGAAATTACAGATTGGCATCTGTAAACACTTACTCCAGTGATAACTGCTTTGAATTTCTTTGAAGTGATGCCAAAACAGATACATTATTTGATGCATTTTTGCAGTCTGATTCTGTTTTTTTTTTCTTTTTCTTGTTAAACACTTAAGAAGTCAGAACAATTTTCAGATTATCCCTCAGGACTACATCACCACTCAAACTATAAACAGAAGTAAAGCTTACTCACTGTACTTCAGGAGAAGTTTTAGTTTATTTTCTYTGTAATGTGTTTGGCACAAAGATTAGAGGAAACTGAAATTACCTGGAGGAGAGAGGCCCAAAAGGTGTTCGGAAGCAGGACACTCCTCTTTGCCTTCGTTTTCTAAATGCTTGTTCTACTAGTTTGGCTTCAGAGGCAGGGTCAATTCGCCAAAAGGAGCCYTTTCCAGGCTCCTCTTGGGAACGTGGGACTTTAATAAAGTAACGGTTCAAGGAGAGGTTGTGCCGAATGGAATTCTGCAGGAAGCAGAGGAATGAGGTGATTATTTTGCCATGAAGAACTATGTAACAAAGACAAATGGGCTGCACCACACAGATTGGAAAAATAAATCCACACTGCCAGAATCAGAGCTGAAGGCAGAAACAAGTCACTCAACTGACACAGCTCCAAAGTCACAGGAGAACAGCAGGAGAAAACCTCGGGAAAAGTGTCAGAGTTTCTCCTAACCAGGCTGAAAGATGGGTTTGCTTGGTACTAAYCATCACTCAAATCAATCTGGAGCCAGGCAGAGCAGAGACTTCTCTGTGGAAAGCCATGAAAGCTGAGTTTTTGCTGAGGCAGGGAGAAATCACGATAAACCACATCAGAACTCTCTCCAAAGACTGRCTTTATTCTCGGCAAGCGGAAAAAGTTGCCTGAGCCTGTGCTAACTGCTCACCTGCCAAATGATTACCAGGGTGCCCAAACATGCCCTAAAGGGCACTGCATCTCACAGTGATCACAGTGCAAGGCAGCCAACATGCCCTCAGACAGCTCTGGGAGGAATCCATTAGCTGTGTGGCACTGCAGCTCTCTAGATGATGACAAGACTTCACCCTTTCCATTGCAGCAACCCATGTCTTACTTGGGTTGGCTTTTGGGGCTGGGGAAGGGCTCAGCTAGTCTGAGTGAGCACAAACTCATCCCTCTTCCACTTACAAAACAAAACAAAAGCTTTTCTAGTAGATTTAGACGATCTCTTCACTGGAGAAGCCTTACAATGCCACTGGAGGGGAGAGAAAAAGGTAACTTTGCTCCCTGCTGAAATGCAGCTCTCTGAAGCAAGATGCAGCAACTGGTTCACAAAGCACAACTCTGCCGAGCAGGTTAGGGCAGGAAGTGAATTCCACAATTAATTAGAACTGCAGGGAAAAGCCAGGGAGGCAGAAATGTATTTATTCCAACTGCACTCAAAGTGCACCAAGCAGTACTGCTCCTGCCAGTTGCACATAGTGAAATCAGCAGCTGTAAGAGCCTTTCCAGCTGTATTAGTGTATTACATTCAAATGACAACACCCATTGCAGAGGTGTGATGCCAAGAAAAAGTCTGAAAGCAGGTGGAGCTGAGGTTCCTGAAACTTTGAAAGCAGCCCTCAAGTGAACACTGAAGTWTGATTTAGCATGTGTTAACTACATCCAAACTCTCATAGGGAGCTGGTCAGATTTCCTTGAGTACCACAAGGAATGCACAGACTCAGAGTTTCCCAAGTTCCCACTCAAATTGAAAACTTGCAAACTGTGACTTAGGCAATGCAGTTGATGCAYTGGGGAAACAAAACATCTGTAATGACTTAAGGTACTATGATTAAAAACTGGAACCTCAGCTTTAGGCTGGATATCCTCTGCTTGGATAAATCACGCCAAACAAAGAYGAGGTAAAGGAGTAAGCAAATATCTGGGCAGAGGTGTGACTGATAGCAAGGATGTAGGAAAATAAAATACAAAATCAAAGACATGACTGCGGCATTAACAGAGGAACCAAAGAGCCCAATAGTAACACACTAATTGCCCTACAAAGTATTTAAAAAACCCCTGATCACCCACAAACAAACTAGTCAGCTTGTGTTAACAGATTCACTCTGGGAACAGTCAAAGCAGCTCTATTCCCAGTGCCCCAAATCTTTAATAAATGCATTTCAAAGCAGATAAGCCCTGTCAAAGTAGTTTAAAAGCTTGTCAGTGTCAAGAACTCACCTGCCAGCCTTTGTCAGCAGTCCTGTAATATGGATAATGCTTGGTAATGTGGGCATAGATCCCACTTAGTGTTAATTGCCTGTCCTGTGCTGAAGATATAGCCTGCACAATTAGCTGAGCATAAGAATAGGGTGGCTTGGATTCATCCTAAGCAAAAAAAACAAAAAACAYCAAACAAAAMTTTAGTTACCAACAAAGAATTCCTGCACTGCAGTGTACCACAACCCAAACTTAAAAAGCACTTTGGGCTGTAATTTTCMCTGATGCCAAGAGAGCAGCAGGGGCAGCTAAGAGTGCAGCAGCTCTGCCATTGCTGTTTTATGCTGCCACCACCCAATTAAGCACAAGCACTTGTGTGCAAACACAACTCTAGGGCTGAGCCAGATGAAAGTATCTCCTTCCATCTCCCCACAAACACACAAACAAATCCCAGCTTCAATCTGATTCCATTCCCCGCTGAATTTCCCACACATGCTTAACCAGCACAAGGAACAGAGTCAAGACAGGCAATTGGAGCAATGAAATAGAGGGARCAGGTACATTCACTGCTTTCTGTGTCCATGAGTTAAAGCCTTCAATTCTGCCCAGCTACACTCTATCAGCAAGGTTTCATGCAGCATACTATCAACCCTCCTCCCAGCAACAAGCTCAATGTGAAACCTGATCCTGCCCCTTCCCTTCTCCAGCAGGATTTGTTTCATTCTAGGAACTTTAATTTGTTTGCTAGATCTCGTATTTCCAACTCTTCATATTACTCCATCAAGAACAAYCCTYCTTGTCTCAAGGGAGAATTAAGTCTACAAAAAAAAGCCATCTAGTACTGTGCTCCTCCACCCAATCCCAAATCAGGTGGTTTTGGATCTGGAACTTCTAACTTTGATCTGAAGATCAGTTCACCAAAATTACATTTTATCATTTTAACTAAGTGATTTTTTAATCTAAATTCCACTTGCTATTCTCCTCGTTTAACGCCTACTTGACAGGCCTTCATGTTTGTTTTAAAGTCTGACTACAGACTTCTCACGACAAGCATCTGGTTTCTWCCCTGCTTCTGCCTTCTCCAACTGTGTTTTGCAAAATACCATTAATTAAAAGAAGAAAATGAGACACTGAATTTTATGTACCTCTTCTTTATGGGATCTTGATTTATCAAATAAGCAAAAAAAATACTCTTGCTTAAACACTTTAGTGAGTTATTTGAATACATTTGGGCAGCTAAGCAAGCAGAGACTACAACTAAGCCAAGAACAGTTTGAAGGAATGATCTCAAACCCTTGGAGGACACTGTACACAGCACCCGTATGGCCAGGATGTTCTTAAACCCCTTTTAACTCTAACCAGGACTAGCAATAAAGCCCCAGGTTTTCATAATCCTCCCAAGGAGCACTGCTGGGTAAGTAATGTTTGTGTGAACCTTTGGGCTGTCCCCGCCAGATGCATCTGCCTGCTGCTCTGATGCTGCCTTTGCCGCATACTCTGCTGCCAGCTGCAGATCCGAGGTAATGTTGTGAACAAAACGATATCCTGAGGATCCAGCACCACGTGGACTGGCCGGGCAAGAGTTGGGAACACTGGAAAGGCAAAAAAAAAAAAAAAAATAAATACAGTTGTTACTTCATTTATAACAAGGCATGCAGTTCTTACTCTCGAAGGTATGGTAAAGCTCTCTGGTCATGGAGAAGCAGATGCAGTGGCTTTACTTTTGCCCCTGTGGCTTATCCAAAGCCCAGACAGATTGAGGGAAAAAAACCCACCAGAGATAAAACTGGAATTTCTGCAAAAGCCTGACACTCCCTGCCACATACACTTCCTGCAATCACAAGAGAGCAGTGTTTCAAAGTATTAAACAACCCCTTTGTGTTTAAAGAAGCACTTAAAACAATGCAAGACTTCAAACAACATATGGTGAATCAGGGATGAATATTTAAATAAATGAATAGCTTGTTATTACAACTTGTGAATGAACAACATACCAATCTTCTCGCAACACAGATCATACTTAATCAATCCTTCTAACAGACAGTTGTTCTATTGTATCAGAGTTAAAGCACTAAGGGCAGGATCTGCTGTGAAGGTCCCTGTCTAACATCACATCTGAGCTTCACAAGACCATACCCTGMTACCATACAGATGCAGACAGGGGTTTCCTCGCTTCACCCACACTGCTGCAGCCAGCCAAGGGGAGCTGCACTCCCTACCCACACACAGAGGTAGCCCCACACATCAGTTTTGGCTGGAAAAGGCACATTCAAAGTGGCAGGGCCACCACAAGATGGCATTACAGGAACAGCGACTGAGCACCATAGGCTGTGAAAGCTGATAAAATGCAACAAACACATAAAAGGGGGCTATAATTTGCAACATCACTCAGGCACACAGAAATGAGTGCTACAAGATGGGAACTAATTAGAAAGGCTTGTCTAGGGATCACACATCCTTGATTTGCAGGGTTGGAAGGATCACAGAATCAAAGAATGGTTTAGGTTGGAAAGGACYTTAGAGACCACCTTGTTCTGACCCCYTGCATGGGCAGGGACACCTTCCACTAGACCAGGTTGTTCCAAGCCCTGTCCAACCTGGCCTGGAMGGATGGGAGGAGARGGATGWGTYGGGGAAGCTGMAGTTCCCTCTTTCTGTCTCTCCCTTGTCCCATGCTGTCCAGAATTGAGGGATGCAGTGCCAGAACAGCAGGATGCACAGCCAAATCCCAGGATTACAAATGTCTTCTAAGAGCAGAGAAACAGTAAACAAGAAAGCAAACCAATACACAGAAGATTTACATAGCAAAACAAGCAGTTCAAATTATATGAAAAGATGCAAATTGAAGCTCACAGCTGGAACTAGAATTCAGTAAAACTGGCATAAACAATCCTCTTACTGGTGAAATGCCCAATAACTGACACAAACAAATGCAGTAACTGACACACATCACAGCACTGCACCAAATGCTGCATGAAAAACCCCAGAACACCATCCCTTCCTCAAAGGTGATGTCTGRATAGCTTCCCCTCCACACAACAGGGATGGAGAGGAAGCAGTGAGACAAACCKTGTTTGCTCAGTGGGCAACACCTTGGGTGCAGAAGCAATCTGTCAGTGTAAGGAATGACCATTTCCTACCACAGTCCAGCCTGTAAACTGAGAAGTGCTCCTTGCTACTCCTTGTGTCTCTGCAAATGGCTGCAGTGCTGAGCTCAGCACAACCCAGACTGGTTTCTTTTAAAAGTGAATTACAGGATGGAGTGGGGGGCTGGGGGGCAGAGAAGAGGCAGCAGAAATATCCAGCCACAACAAACCCTTGTAAGAGGGAGCCCAAGCTCACCCCTGCCCCATATACCAGCAAGAGATAAAGCTCTCAGGAGGTGCAAAGTATATAATAGTGATGAGCCCATACCTATAAATCCCTCTTTGTCAGAGATAAAGACATTTCTTACCCAGCCTTTCAAAGAGCAGAGACCTGTTTGTGCAGGAAAAATGAATGAAAATTTGCTRCTCCAAGCTTTGGAAGTGGATAATAAGAAACAACAGAAGACACTCTTGATGTCTTAGTATTCGCATGAGGAGCTGGTGTGAATTTAATTATTCTGCTGTCATTTTTCAATAGCTTCTTCACATACACACTTCTTATAATGTGCAGATAATTACAACTGAAAGCCATTTTCATACATGAAACAATGACAAACCAAAAACACAGTGATTCTTTTAGTGTTTGGCACCCAAGCAATTATTGTAACACACCGGCTAGAAATGGAATAGGATGAAACAGGGTTTTCTGATTTTGTTATTTGTCTGCAGAAATACACAAAGAGCAAACCACAGAGCCAGCAGCCAAAACTCAGGACAAAGACACAGAAGAGAGAAAAGGTCTCCAATAAATCCCTGCTCTGCAGAGCTGTATTTCTTGCTTGTTCTTTCCCTTTTTAATAAATACATAAATAAAAATAGATAAAAGAATTTATTCCTTTATTCAAAATCAGCAGAGCAAGGAGCTCAGTTTTTGCCTCTCCAGCKCTAGCTTCTGAATTTTAAGTATGATCTCTTGTTTAAAAAAAAACAAACTAAAAAACCAAAGGGAGAAACCCATCACCTCCAGGGTTGTGACTCTCTGGAGTGTTGACAAAGCCCATCCAAACTAAAGTGTTAATAACTTCTAGAAAAGCCAGCCTCCCCAGTAGATATTCACTGAAGAGCATGATCATGATTCCATAGCAATAGCCAAAGATTTGGAAGAGATTCTAATCTTTTACCAGAATGGARCCCTTTTGCCCAGGGAGATCTGCTTCCTTTCAGCCTGGATCAATGATCAAATCAAGAGATGTGAGGACAGAACAAACACCACCGTTTATCCACTCCATGCACAGACAGGGTAACACATGCTGCTGAGTGTTCAAGCTCTCAGTCAATCATCACAGCTCTTCAGAGGGGAGGCAGAAAGAGCTGACTACTGGAAAAAACAAGGAGACACAATCTGTTCCCCTCCCAACATGGGACAGAAGGAGTGAAGAAACAGTTTTACTAAAAATATCCCTCTGAGGGTTAAGTTAAAATTAAACATTAGTGCAGTCAAAMGAAAACAAGCAAACACAATGCAGTGACATCAGTTTCCTGGAGTTCCTGGAATTCTCCTCACCACCCAGAGCTGGGGGCTGGCCGGGGATGCTTGCATGCACTCACACCCCCTTTAAAAATATTATGAAACAAAGATTTTTCGCTACAAACACTTGTTTATGCTACAAAACAAAAATCAACTGCAAGGACAGTAAYAATGATTTGCTGGATATTAACACTRCATCGAYACTTGGCCATAACTTGATCCATGTTGATACTATAACCTTTCAYTGAGAAAAGCACAGCTAGGTCTGCAATTTCACCCAGCTCTGACACCCTAACACACTGCTGTGATCCACACTTACTGTCCATGTGGGCAAAATTAGTTTACAAGCAATCCAAGTTAATTTGGGTTAAGCTTGCCTGTTTTGGAAGAGAGCATTTTGGAGAGGAAGCAAGTGTTTTACACCACTGAAAGACACACAGAGCATGGAAGCAACCCAGCTGAATTACCAACAGTCCTAATGCCATGGTACCCAGTGAATGCCCCAAGTGCCAGAGATCTTTGATATCCACCAAGGATTCAACATCTCAACTTGAAACTGATTGCARGCAGCCACTGAGCCACAGTTCTCCAAATACCATGCTGAGAACTCAGCTTTAGAATCAGACTACAACCACGTGCTCAATCACACCAGTCCTCTGCAGCATGTTTTCCATTTCAGACTTAACCCTTCTTTGGCAGGAAGGCCAGAAAGATGAGGGCTGAAGGCAATGTCTGCAATACACTCACCCATCTAAGTGGCAGGATGCCTTTTAAACACGAGGCTTGAACGTTCTTTGCAGCACCASGATTCACTTTCAACTCCTGCCAAGAGGAATCCAGCCTGTAAGTTCACAGCACTTGCTAGCAGTAATTAACTCCAAGCTGCTGGAGAGTGTGTACAACGTGCTGCATTGCTGTTGGAATGTCCACAATCACTTTGTTTAACCAAAGAACCAGCCTGAAAAAATAGGATGTACTGTGTGCATGGGGCATTCACACCAGGACATTGTGTGTTGCTTGTCTACTCTCACTTGGGTTAAAAAAAACCAAAAAAAGAAGATAGAGCTAATCCAGAGAAGGTACTGAAGGTACTGACAGGGATAAGTACCTCCCAGGATGATTGGGAGATATGGAATGGATTTTATACATGAAAAAACTGTTTAAGACACAAGCTGAGCTGCAAAGTGACAGAGCTATAAAAACAAAGCCAGAAGGAAGTGTTTAGCTCCTGGCCTCTTGCAACATGACCGATGGTGAGCACAAAATGAAACTAAGCAGCATGTCCAAAACAAAAGAAAGTGCTTCTACTTCTGTGGCTACACTATGGAATGAGATGCTGTAAGACAGGGCTGATGATAAAATCTATGTGAATGAAAAAGGCCACTATACAAGTTCTTGGGGAAAGGGAAGCCATCAGGGGCCTTATAAGAAAGATAATCAGGAAGACCCTGCTCCAAGGAGACTCCTGYCCAAGAAAATAGAGGCAAACTACATCTAAGTCAGCATTACTCTGTTTTTTATCTTCTTATATGACCCCCAAGATACCCATGTCTGARGCAGAACACTGTGCTAGAGGGATCTCTTCCCTGGGCACATTTAGATTCTCACGTAAAGATTTCCACAGTCTCTYAATACTAGGCACATTTTATGGACTAAGGGGTAATAAAAATAAAAATGAWGCAACAAGTGCTTACACTATTTATTTATGGTCATATTACAAGTCTGTGAACAATCTGGAAACCGAAACACTCCCAAATTCCAGTGCCAACTTCCCCAGAAGGAGAGGCAGTAGTAGAATGCAGTAAAGTTGCCCTATTACTCAATTGAGGGATCAAGCTATAGAGGCTAAATTTAAGCCAGGCATATGAAAAAGCACCTATCCTCCCTATGACAAAGAGAAARGATTACCTGGGATGCCATAAGAAATTGTTCAACTGGCTTGGAATCTGCACTGCTAAAGACAAACAAAGCCATGTGG